GCCGCTAAATCTCAAGACCTATTGCGACGTTTGTGGGAAAAACGCCGCTAAATCTCAACACCTATTGCGGCGTTTATGGGAAAAACTCCGCTAAATCTCAACACCTATTGCGGCGTTTGTTGAAAAAACGCCGCTAAATATCAACACCTATTGCGTCGTTTATTAGACAAACGCCGCTATATATCGTTACCTATTGCGACGTTTTTTGTTACCAAACACCGCGAACTTTAGCGACGCTATTTTTAGTGGCGCTTTTTGCGGCGTTTGTCATAGCGGCGCAGGTGTTTTTTGCAGCGCTTAAAAACGCCACTATAGGTAAAAAAAACGCCGCAAATGTACAGTTTTACTGTAGTGATCATTTGAACCAACATTGACATTCATAATGTACACGAATGTACCATAGCTTTACTTTAACTTTACTCAACTTCCTGGCATGTCAAGTGTACCTACAACTCTCAATGCAACATACAATGGACTTCCATATCATATTATATTCATTTATTAATCAAGTAATGCAAATTAGAATCTTTTACAAATCAGAATCATTTTCCATTCATCATCATAAAATTATAACTTGGACAGTTCATACCCTAAAATAAATCATATAACATTTTGAAATCATTAATTAAATATTTCATCATTAAAAATTAAGATCATTCTTTAAAATCACTTTAGAAAATTCATTCGCATATCTTTTCATAAAATATCACATAAAAACATATCGGATTAATTTCATACAAAACAATAATCATAATTCCTTTATATAGCATTATGGAAGAATTCTATAGTTAAAATAAAATCATACTTTAAAAATAATGTGAGATTGACTTATGGCAAGTCTTCCTAAATCAGTAAAAGTAAATAAATAAATTGCACTCTTCATTGTCTCACTATTGAACCTTTAATACGATATTCTTTACTCATGTGCTTTGCCTTTCGCTTTTGAGTCATTGAGATCACAATATTTGTCGTAATTTGTACGACATCACATACATAGCATCATTACGACATCACATACATAGCAACATTTCAACTACATGTTAGTATTATACTAACATGATCTAGTTCCGATAAATAAATTCTATAAACGTAATCGATACTAAATCGATATAAAACTAAATCACAATTCCATCATAACTTCAAACTTTCCAACATAGCTATTCGATTCCATAAATATTCATTTCTATCATTAACCCTCTAACTTTCAAAACTATGTATTTATATCATCTTCTATTAATTCTTTTTAGAATTCACATCAATTTTTCCATTTAATTCACAATGGTCCTTCATCACCTTACTTAATTCAAATAAAATACTAAAATTCCAGAATATAAAATAATATCCTCAATCCAATACCTTAACATTTAAAAACTTGCATTTCATCCTAAATTTTCATAGCCTTTTCGAATTCAAATATGAACTTTACTAAACTTGTAATTTAATCCCAAATAAATACTCAAACTTGAAAATTCACCACTCAATTAATCATTTCCATAATTGTAATATCATACTAAAATAATACCATCACATTTGAAAACTCACAATTAAGTCCCAACTTTTGAGACTATTCGAATACCATGACCAAATTTCTCCAAATTTGCACTTTGGTCCCAAATCATTAATCTAACTTAAAATCCATCATTCCATAACTAAAATTAAACATTGAATACCTCAAATTACACCATTTTAACTTAAGTCACTAAATTTTCCCATAATTTCAATTTTGTCCTCAAACTTTATCAACTTTCCAAAATGGTCCAATTTCACATTCTAACATCAAATTCAACACTGTTGAGTTAATCGATCGATGGAATTGGCCAAGAGGGGGGGAATTGGCAATTAAAATTTTGGTGGAAGCTTTTGCAGAAATTGAAAAGATTTGCACATCGATTTAGAGTGGTTCGACTTTCTCAACCAATGTCTACGTCCACTACCTTAGCTATCCACACTAAGGATTTTCCAACAAATTCACTAATTTGTTCTTTCTTTTGAGGCCAAAGAGATAACCTTACAACTCCCTCAAGAATATACCCCAATTCTTGAGAACACTCTTTCTCAAAGAGAAGATTACAAATTTGCAAACTTACAAGGAAATCCTCACAAGGTAGATTGTTTGCACAATTCTAGAACAAAGAAAAGAACACCAAAAAATGAATACAATTGAGTATTAGTAGTGTTCTTGAAAGCAAAATGAATATTGAATGAAAAATAGGCTTAAAATGCTCAAACTTGAAGTTTGATGCTTTCTCTTTGATTCTCTCTTGATTCTTGTTTCTTGTGTTTTCTTGTTGTTGATCAATAGCTTCTAAGCTTGTTTAAATACTCCTTCAAATGATTCTGAATGTTGGGGATGATTAGTGGAGTTAATAGAGCCGTTTAAGTCACTACAAGAAATTTCTATTATTGTGACAAATTTAATTTTGTCACTATTAGTAGCTTTTTAGTGACAAAATAAATAATCGTTGCATTAAATTTAAAAAATATATACAATTATGAAAAAAATTAAAATCGTCATAATAATTTGTCACAATTAGCAAACATGTGTAACATATGGTGACAAAATAAATTTTATTTCGAATTTTTGTCACAAATGTTTCCCTCCATTTTTTTGGCGCCAAATTAAAGCATATTGTGACAAATTTTGTAACTAAAAATTTTAGTAACTATGACAGAAGAAATTGTCACAACAAATAATGAGATTTAGATTTATTGTGATAAATTTTGTTTGTAATTATATATTTTAATTATAGTGACAAAATGTATAGTCACAAATGATTATCTCCAATTTTTGGTACAAAAATAAAATCATATAGTGACATGTTTTGTAACTATAAGCTATAATTATTATCACAAAAAAAGTTGTCACAACAAATAATAAGATTCATGTTTTTAGTAAAAAAAAACAATTTTTGTCGTTATATGTTTTAATTATAGTGACAGTATATTGTCACGAAGATTTCACTCCATATTTTTTGCCCCAAAAAAGTTATATAGTGACAAATGTTTTTTAACTATAAGTGTTAATAATAATTACAAAAACAAATTGTCACAACAATAATGATATTCACGTTTTTTGTGACAAATTATATATATAGTTATAAATTTTAACTATAGTGATAGCATATATTGTCATAATTATTTTTCTCTACTTTTTGTTTCAAAAGTTATATTGACAATTTTTATAATTATAATTTATAGTTATTGTTATATAAAAATTATCACATCAAATAATAAAATTCAAGTTTTTTGTAATAAATTATATTGGTACTTGTATATTTTAATCATTATGAAATATTAAACTATCATAACCATTTCTCCCTATTTTTTAGTGTCAAAAATGTAATATAGTGACATAATATATTGTCATAAAGATTTTCCTCTATATTTTGTTTTGCGCCAAAAAAATCATATATTAACAATTTTTGTAACTATAAGCGTTTATAATTATTTCAAAAACTATTGTGACAAAAATAATGGTATTCACATTTTTTTGACAAATTATACTTGTAGTTATAAATTTTAATTACAGTGATAACATATATTGTGATAAATATTTTTCTCCACTTTTTTGTTTCAAAAAGTTATATTGATAAGTTTTGTAATTATAATTTATAGTTATCGTTATAGAAAATATTATCACATGAGATAATAAAATTCAAGTTTTTTGTAATCAATTATTTTTTTAGTTATATATTTTAATCATTATGAAAATTATACTATGATAAACATTTCTCCCTATTTTTTGGTGTCAAAAATGTTATGTAGTAAAAATTTTATAGTTATTGTTATAGAAAAATTATAACAACAAAAAAATTATTTTTAATTAATAAATGATTTTAGTTTTTATGAAAAAATATGTTTGTAGTTATTCATTTTAATTATAATAAGAAAATATAATAATTATTATTATAAAAACAAAATGTTCAAAAAATCAAATTTATGTGATATATACAATTCAATGGCATTTTCAAATAAAGTATAATAACAAAATATATTATCAAAATGTTTTCATTTATTTTTTTATGAAGCTAGTTTGAAACTTTTTTCTTAATTATAATTATGTAAATAATTTAATCAAGTAAAGAATTTGAATAAATCAATATGCATAATTGAACAAATCAAAAGTAATTTTATTTAGAAGCATACAAACAATCGTAATTAATTAAATTAAATAATATATTTTAATAAAATAATTGTCTCAAGTAAAATTATAAGTAATCCTCCTCCTCCTGTTCGTCTTCATATATTTGGGTTGTATTATTTAATTATTTGCACATCGTTTTCTTTGAAAATTTCATTAACTATGAAACAACATTTCCTTAAAATTTTCTTGAGAAAACCAACCGTTGAGTATTTTAAATAAATATTTGTTTATCCAGCTATTTTCGACGTGTTATTCCAATTCCATCAAAATCAACAAACCATCCCTCTTATCCATACAAACTTTTAATCGTTTTGAATCGAAATAAAGCAATGTTTAATCATTGTTTGATAAATTTAAAATTTAAAATCAAAAATTAAAATGTTAAGTATTAAATTTAATTTAAGAAGCATATTTTATATTTTTATTTAAATGTAAATATATAATAAGTGGATTTGGGTCTCGGTTGACATCCAATTTTTTTAGAGTTCTTTATAAAATTGAATATAAAAATATTAAAAATAAATTTGGTATTCATTTTAAAGAATATTAACACCATTTTAAAAATAATTGACATCGTAATATAGATTTTCTGATATCATCTATACATATAATTAAATTGTTTAACAAATATAAATTTTAAAGAATAGATGACTTTAAAAGAAATAAAATAGTATATTACAATTTGTTGAACATAGTGTTCTTTAAGTAATAAATAGGTTCTTATTTTTAAGCCGCAAAGGCGATTTCCATGGCTTTAACCAACGCAAGACTAGGCTTTCCATCCTCTCTCTCTGCGATTCATAAAAATTTTACTCTTCTTCACCACTAACCCCAATAAAAGAAGTTGAAGCCGGCGATGCTGATACGATTGAAAAGCCCCAAAGCCCTGCCCTTTCACCAGAAAGAAACCCTTGTCGTCGAAAAATTCCATTCCTTAATCAAAGAGCACCACAGCAAAAACCCTAACCCAGATTCAAACTCGACCCCAAACTTCATCGATCAGATGAAAGCCAAAAGCGTCGACATCTCGCTCGAAACCTTTGCGATTCTAATCAGGCGTTACGTGAAGGCCGGGTTGGCTGCAGAGGCTGTGCACGCGTTTAATCGCATGGAGGATTACGTGTGCTGTCCTGATAAGATCGCGTTTTCTGTTTTGATTAGTATTTTATGCAGAAAAAGAAGGGCTGATGAAGCTCAAACTTTTTTCGATAAATTGAAGGACAAGTTTGAACCTGGTGTGATTATGTACACCAGCTTGCTTAACGGTTGGTGTCGGGCGCAGTCGGATCCGGGGTGTTTGATGAAGAGCATGTCGGTGAAGGGACCTTTTCTAGAAGATCTTTCAATTAGAGTTCCACCTAAGAAACCAAGTACTGTTCCGTTGCCAACAGATGGTTTTGTTGAAGAACCCAATGATCCTGGTGCAATCTCTTCTCCGTTTTCAGTTCCACGGCCATCACAAAATAGGGAGAACTCTCTCCTTCCTCCAGATTCAAATGAAAAGGAATGTGTTTGGGATGCTTCTTTGCCTCCAAGTGGTAATATAAGTCCACATAGCAGCATTGACAGTACCGGGGTGGTGACTGCAATGAGCATTGTCAATAGTTGTGCTAATACATATAGGAGTGATGCTGTTACTAGTGATGGCATGTTCAGCATGGATAGGAACTGTGAGAGTACAAAGGGAAGTGTTAGAGCAGATTCACTTGAGAGCGCAAAGACTAATATTAGCCGTGCAAGTGATAGCAGTGGCATTAGCGATGACAGTAACTGGAGTAACATCACCGGAAGTTCTAATAAACCTCATAGTAAATTTAGTCAAAATAAAAATTTATGTCAAATTTATTTTGTCACAATATTTTGTCAAAATAAAAAATTGTGACAAACTTATTTAATTAAAATAATAATTTATAAAAAATATTAATTTCTCAATATAAAAAATTGTGACAATTAATATTCTTTCACAATAATAAATTGTAAAAAAATGATTTAGTCACAATAACACATTAAATTTAGTCAAAGAAAAAGATATGTCAAATTTATTTTGCCCTAATATTTTGTGAAAATAAAAAATTGTGACAAATAATATTCTTTCACAATAACAAATTGTAACAAAATTATTTAGTCATAGTAAAAAGCTATAAAAAATATTTAGTGACGAAATAAAAGTAGTGAGAAAATAAATTTTGTTGTAATATGTCTTTTTTTCACGAAAATATTTTTTGTTTGATGTTATAATTTAAGTTAATTGTGACGAAATTTACTTTTTGTGATAAAATAATTATTTTATTTTAACAAATATTTTGTCTATGGAACTTGCATTTAGTGACAAGATAGCAACTACGACAAAATAATTTTTGTTGTCTTATGTATTTTCGTCACAATAACCCTTTATATTTGATGTTTAAATATAACTTAGTTATGACAAAATATACTTCTCGTGATGAAATAGTTAATTGATTGTGACAAATATTTTATTGTAATAAGTTAATTATAGTAACAAAATTTCATTGTTATAATAAATACTATACAATGGTAACAAACACAATTTTGTCACAATATACTTTACATGACAAGGTTGTTCTAACAAACATGGTAACAAATAAAATTGGTCAGAATAAATATATCGTGACAAATTTAGTACTTCTACTGATAAATAACTTTGTTGAAACAATCGAAATTTCTTGTAATGAGTGTGAAAACAATTAATTAAATCAATTGGGAGCGTTAGTGCATCGATGTATACCCAAGGTACATCGGTGCATCAAGTGTAAAATTCAAATATTTTGACCGTTGGACACTTAGTGCATCGGTGCACTAAGAGTGCATCGATGCATAAAATGCATTCGATGTTTCAAAATAGCCTGAGTGCATCGATGCATGGCTGGTGCATCGATGCATCAAATGCATTCTGTGTTTTCATAAAACTCTGAGTGCATCGATGCATAATATGTGCATCGATGCATGAAATGCATTCGATGTTCAATTTATTCCATGATGCATCGATGCATGGATTGGTGCATCACTTTGAAAAATTGATTTTAGGCTTGATTTTGGTTCAAAATACTTTGTGAAAATTGTTTCAAAAATATATTAAGTATAAAACACAATTTTACACATTTAGTAAGGTTTGAAATTGATCTTGAAGAGTTGGAGTAATAATTTGATATTCGAGTAATTAAATCGAATATACTTAGAAAATCATTTGTAAAATCTTAAAATTCATTTATACTTAATTTGTTATATCGTAACATCAAAATATTTTCAACAATCTCCCCCTTTTTGATATAACAAAACATGTGTGTAATTTTAAGATTTTCTTTGAAAATAAATTTTGAAAAATTACTCCCCCTTACTCTAAAACTTCTCCCCTTAACACTTTTACACTTATCCCCCTTTTTTATTAAATCAAAAAGACTTTAAAATGTTCTAAACAAGGTTTTGAAAAACATAGCCAATTGATTAAAAGTAAATAAGATTAAGTTGCTAAGATCACAATCAAAAGAGAGATTAGCCATTAGTTCCATAACAATATTCATAATCGAATGTGAAATGGCATAATTGATCATATATGTCTAAATTATACCTCCAAACAAAATTCAACCAAACTAAATATATATATTAAGTTCAAACTTCCAAACATCCAAATTATACCTCCAAACAAATTCAAACATATTCAAACAATCCAAAGAAAACAATAATCCCAAAGCATTCAAAATGTTTTAACAAGAAAAGTTCAAAGATGATCCAAAACAAAACAATGTCTACTCGTCCATAGAAGGATCGGGAGGAGGAGGAAATCGTGTTTGCATCTCAAGAGAGAGAGCATCTATACGTGCAAGCATCTCCCTTTGAAACTCCATATGTCGAGCTTTCAAAGTATCTAGGCGATGATTTACCGCTTCGTGAGTAGCAGTCAAGTGGGATTCGATAGAAGCATACCGTAGATCAAATGTCTCAAAAAATGAACGAAAATGTTGAGGCACTTGATCCTATTGTGGAGCTTGTTCCGATGCAGGCTCATCATCTGGTACGTGATCGTCGATATCTTGCATAAGTTGCTGAAATTCTGGATCATCGTCTGCAGCCGGTGCCGAAGGAGGAGGAGGAGCACGAGAGGAGCTACGAGCAGCTCATGAAGAACTCGCTCCCGGAGTTTTCTTACCGGGTCGAAAGACCCAAAGGCTGGTTTCCTCGTCTTGTTTCCAATCCGCTTTCTTCAACGAGGTGAGATTGATTTGATTTTGGAGAGGGATGGGGTTGTCGAGTGAGATGTTTAGACTAAGTTTGATAAAAAGGTTACTAAGAAGACATCCATAAACTAATGTTTCGACATGTTTTGAAGGAACAATGTTTATGATATCCACTAGTTGACTAAATATAATGTGGGGCAGATTTATTTTGTTCTTATTCTTGATACAGTGCATCCACCATAAATCCCTAGTACGAAGAGTGGAGTACCTACCTCCGGATGGTCTAAACCACCAAGAGATCATCAAATGAAGAAAACGATCATGATGAGATCATAGAGTACTAACACTACAGTTTCATTCTCATTATATAACCCATCATCATCTAGCCCAAACCGGAAAGCTATAGTCTCGGGGTCAATATTAATATATTGGCCTAAAATATATGATCTAATTGCTATAGTCTCACATTGAGTTTGGTTTTGAATGCATACCGCATTGGAGTAGAAAATGCAGACTAACTGATGATAGACGATAGGTTTAAGGTGAAACATTTTATCAAACTTCCAAGTTTTAAGAATCAGAAGGTATTCGAAGATAATATCTATCAAGGCTTGAAGAGAAGGAATACACTCTTCCCGGATTCTATAGGATTGGAAAGAATTTATGTACCTAGAGTACAAGTTGTCTCTACAACGTTCAGGCATATTAAAACAGGATCCTATAAGACTATTAGGTGGAGGAGGAACAGGATTAGGAGGTTGGGTTGAACGACTCGATGAAGTCCTAAGATGTTTAGGATTGGACATGGTCAAGGTATCGAAATAAGGAATGAAACCTGCAATTTAAAACACATGTATGCACAATAATCAATTCCAAAACTCAATTGAGTCCTCAATAATTCAAGGTTCTCTAAATCGAATCCTAATGGGCAAGGTTTTGAAAACTATTTGAAAATAATTTTTGAAAAATCATAATATGTATAGTTTTCATGAAAACAACATAATTAAATCAAAAGCATCAAATTTTAAAATTAAATTCAGATTTTTGATTTTTTTTAATTTTGAAAAATTCAAATTTTTTTGAAAATTTGTGAGTTTTTGATGGAATTGGTTGTAAAATCTAGTTTAAAACCATCAAACGATCAATGACCGATATAATGTTCATCCTAGAACTAATTAGAACTAGTCATAAGATCTATATGATAAACTAGAAGTTTTTAGAAAAATACCTTGAAAATTTCGGATTGATGAGAATGAGATGTTGTTTTGCACGATTTAATGATAGTAGCAGGACTTTGAGATGAAATGAGGATGAATTTCGATTAAAAACGATGATTTTGGAGTAAGAGGAGAATTTAGAGAGTGAGAGAGGCGTGCGGCTGATGAGGGTGTAGTTTTAAGGTTTGAAACAAATGAAAAATAAGCCTTTTTAACCCAAAACCCAACGGGTGCATCGATGCATGGCAGTGTGCATCGATGCACATTCAAGGCATGCATCAGTGCACCTTCATGGTGTATCGATGCACATTCAATGGGATGCATTGATGCATTGTTAAGTGTATCGATGCATGAAGCACAAAAATGTCAAAAATCCATTTTAAAACACTCAGAATGCTAAATTAATTAGCTCTAGTGGTATTGGCAACTCATATATTGAAAATTAATCATGTTCAATCAATCAATTAATTCTTAAACTACATTTGAACATAAAATTAATTTTCACCAAAGAACATAAACTCCCCCTAACTAATAGCAATGAATGCAATAAAAAATTACTATTATAAGCATTTTTCATTTATTCTTAAAAGTGCTAAAATTATTTTAAACACTAAGTGAAGATAGGTCAGTTAAACCTAATTCTCTCCTAAGTGTCCAAAATCTTTCTTTGTCTAAAGGTTTTGTAAAGATATCTGCTAATTGGTGCAAAGTATCAACAAATTCTAGAACTACATCTTCCTTAGCGACATGGTCTCTAATGAAGTGATGTCTAATTTCAATGTGCTTAGTTCTAGAGTGTTGGATGGGAGTTTTAGTGAGACAAATAGCACTAGTATTGTCACACTTGATAGGAATAGTACATACTTCAATTCCATAATAAAAAAGTTGTCGTTTCATCCATAAAACTTGTGCACAACAACTACCAGCTGAAATGTATTCTACTTCAGTGGTAGATAATGCAAAAAAATTTTGTTTCTTTGAAAACCAAGAAATCAACATATTTCCAAGGAATTAGCAAGCACCGGAGGTGCTTTTTCTATCTAATCTGCATCCTCCATAATCTGCATCAGAAAAGGCATGCAAGCTAAAGCTATAGTCTCTAGGATACCAAAGTCCTAATCTAGGAGTGTCCTTAAGGTATCTAAAGATTCTCTTAACAGCTAGTAAATGTGATTCCTTAGGGCATGATTGAAATCTAGCACATAAGCAAACACTAAACATAATGTCCGGTCTACTTGTAGTTAGATAAAGCAAAGAGCCAATTATTGATCTATATAATTTAACATCCACACATTTACCTCCTTCATCTATGTCAAGCATTGTTGATGAGCTCATTGGAGTGTCACGAGGTTTCCCATTTTCCAGTCCAAACTTCTTGAGCATATCTTTGACGTACTTAGCTTGATTGATGAAGATGCCATCTTTTCTTTGCTTGATTTGGAGTCCCAAGAAAAATGAGAGCTCCCCCATCATGCTCATCTCGAATTCACTTTGCATTAGCTTAGAAAATTCTTGGCAAAGAACATCATTAGTAGAACCAAATATTATATCATCAACATAAATTTGAACTACTAATAAATATTTACCTTTATGCTTTAAAAACAATGCAGTGTCAACCTTCCCTTTGGAAAAACCTTTTTTCAATTAAAAAATTTAACAATCTTTCATACCAAGCTCTAGGGGCTTGTTTTAAACCATAAAGTGCTTTTGTCAATTTAAAAACATGATTTGAAAATTTTAAATCTTCAAAACCAGGAGGTTGTTCCACATACACTTCTTCTTTTATAAAACCATTTAAAAATGAACTTTTAACATCCATTTGATATAATTTAAATTCATGAAAACATGCAAATGCTTGCTTCCATCCTAGCTACGGGAGCGTATGTTTCATCATAGTCTATGCCCTCTTCTTGAGTATACCCTTGAG